CGTATGACATCAATTCTGCAATGGATATTTATATCCAAAATATAGTGAAAACACTATTAATTAGCACTGTAACAAGATCGGCAGTTTAAGACATTAACTTGTGAGCACAAAACACAAGATACTTCTCTTTTCAATATAAATAAGGCTTTATTGGATAAATCTAAGACATATAAACTAATCTAACACATGAACACACGCATTCACACAAGTTGCAGAAAGAGAGAAAGTGAGGAAATAATTAGTTTAAGAGAATGAAAATGTGAAATCCCAAGTTTACAGCAATATGTGCAATTGCATAGATCTGAACAACCATCAATCACTTAATTAACCCTAGCATTGAGTTCCTCAATTAGGTTAAAATTTATATTAAATGCACCAGTTCAGCTAGGATCTGGAGGTACTTGCGTTCCTGTGTGTGGGGTTCCCTTCCTTGTCTGGTTGCCGTAAGGGGTTTCCCGCTTTTCTGATTGGCTGGAGGTTCAGTCTTGTGAAGCCAGTGATTGGGCGTTGGCTGACGACGCGGAGCTGTGGTCTGCAGTTGAAGTTTTAGACGGCACTTTTTCGGAGATGCGGCGTTAGGCAAACTTAACTCGAAACACGAAACTCTCAATGGAAAATAAAATAAACTAAAGAAATAGTAATAGAAGCAAAGTTTGACGAGACCAGGTGGCGTTTCTCCTCATGGTTTTGGAGGAGATGGCGTGTAAGCCAGAGCACGCTCAAAACTAAAGAAACATGATTAAAAAAAAACGACAAGGCTCGAAAAGGCAAAAAGGAAGAGAGAGAAAGATGGTGTCCTGAGTATTTAAACCAGGCTGTTTAACGCACCCCAAATGGTGTTTTGACCAATTAGATGTCGTGTTTGCTCGGGGTGTTGTATATTTCTCCTCCCCATTCAATAAACCAAATGTTCTCTTATCAGTCACATGGTCCACGTTTTTCCCGCTCTTGCAGAGTATAGATTTGGACATGATTTCTATAACAAGTATATGATACATTTGACAAAGAAGTGATTGGAATAAACGTTTCAAGCATGAATTCTCAAACTCACACATACCAAACCTGAATACGAACCATTAAGCTATTCAATAGTTATTAAAAATACATACACAATAAATGATTAAGACCTGATAAGTCACATGTGGGTTACATACATAATATGGAGTTATGCATAGCAATGATTAGTTGCTCACCAGTCCTTTTAGTGTCATTTAGATGCATATTTAAATGGAAATGCAGTTTCTGTGCCATTCTCTGAACATAAGGACATGTTCTGTGAATGTATGAAGTTAAAATGTCTGTAAGGAATTTCAGTCTGTTCTCTGTCTCAGAGGTGGGGGAAGTAAATCCAAAGAGCTTGTGATTGCTATCACTGGTTACCATGTGATGGTCACGCCGTGCATCTCTTTTGACCATTAATCTTAATTACTTGCCCTAAAATTGACAATCTCCTTCCTGAGTTGTTATGATCAGTGTGTTCCTTTTGTGTTAATGTTGAAAGCTGTTCTGTGAAGGAGTTGGTTAGGCTTGCTTCAGACTGGCTAGGGTCTGATTTATGACATCCTGTTGTCTTGGGCCTTTTGTGGAATTTTGGGCTCCTCAGGTTTCAACCATGTTTTGACCAAATCTTAGATTGTCTGATTCGGTCTGATATCCTACAGATGTTAAAGGGGTGGTTCATCTAAAAATTCACCATGTCCTTCCAAACCTGTAGAGTTTCTTTCTTCTTTGGAACACAAAAGGATAATCTTCTGGCTGCTCTTTTCTATGCAATTATAATGCATGGGGACTAGAGCTTTCAAGCTTCCAAAATGATTAAGTCTTCTGAAGCCAGGTGAATGCTTTGTGTGAGTAAAAGACTTTAAACAGATCAAAATGTAGCTTTTTTTTAATTCACATCCAACTTCACTCTAGTCTCCTTTTAAAAATGCATGAGAGGCCATGAAAGAAGTATTGAATAATATATTATTAACATATTGGGTGTTTATTAGTACTTATAAAGCACATATTCTGCATGACCATATTCTACATCCCTAATCCTAATCAATACCTACACTTAACAACTACCTTACTAACTATTAATAAGCAGCAAATCAGTAGTTTGAGGCAAAAGTCATAGTTAATGGTTTGTTAATAGAGAGAATTGGACCTTAAAATAAAGTGTGACAGGGAAACGCATTATGCTACATACAAACCAATAGCAGCCTATAAGGCCTATGAAAATTGAAGCCTTTAATTTGCAGTACTGCAAATAAATGTTTCAATATGCAGCTGTCAAACCTTTTCAGAAGTAAACAATTTACAGTCTTGACTATAAAAAAAAACTCAAAGTTATAATTACCGACCCTTGTGACAACCAGCCCCAATATATTAATTGTAGTTATGTGTAACATTTCAACTCTTGTTATAAGGCCACTCAGTATTTATTTATTTAGTTAGTGTTTGTGCAGGGAATACCAGGAAGGCACATGAGAAACAGGACATAAATATTGTATGTGATATGTAAACCACTGTTTATGTGGAGCTTCATGCATTCTGCAAACTCCGCCCACCAGAATTACATCAGTATCTTTTAACCAGAAGTTCATCGACCTAGAGTGTATTCCCATCTCAGGAGGACGATTCAGACAACTTTACAGCTCATTTTTGATGCTAAATTATTCATGTAACTTAAAAATAATACACGCTTCACATTAATACTTTGAAACTCTTCGGCCAATTTGCCTGCTAAGCTTTCATTAAAATGTATTTAAATGTATTTCATGGCATTTATCCACATGCAAATTAAGTCAAAATTATTGTCTGTGGGAATCAATAGCCTTATACGAATAAATTGATTTAAATCGATGAAGTCAAATAAACTTTCTCTCTCACTCTTCCTCTTTCCAGGTGTTTACACGTTATGGGAAATGTTACATGTTTAACGCTGCTGAAGAGGGGAAGACTTTGAGGACTACAATGAAAGGAGGCACGGGCAACGGCCTGGAGATCATGCTGGACATCCAGCAGGATGAATACCTGCCTGTGTGGGGAGAAACAGGTAAACACACACACACACACACACACACAAATGCAGTCAACCCTGATCACACTATGTACACTGAGCTGTCCCAGAGGTTTTCCTTGTTAAACATCTCTCCTCATGTACAGGAGAAACTCTGATTGTCTTACAGGTGTCTGATTAGGGCAGGGCTTTGTCAGCGCTTTCAATGTAACGCTGTCCCCAGGGACGCAGTGAATATTTGCGAGAGACACACACCTTGAAGAACAGTTGTGATGCTGTAATGGTGTAGACAAATCCAGTGGGATTCATTATCAAATAGAACTTCTTGCATCCTGAGGAACTGATCTGATGCAGGTACACTTCTCTGAGCAGTGGTACACAAAAACTTCAAAAAAAATTTTTGATTACCATTGTGACACCCAAGCAAAGCATTGCTTCCCTTGTGGTGTTTTCGATATTTCAAAGGAGATGAAAGCATTTAGGATTAAGAGAGCAGCATTGAGGATTCCCAGCAAAAGATTCATTAGCATTTAAAGGTTACGAGTTTAGCTGAGGCTGAATTCAAATTTATTCCAAGAAATATCATCATACTTTTTCCAAAATTGAACAAAAGGAGTCAGAGCGTGGTGACTATACATTTCATCAGAAGTTTTGGGAGAGTGGCCTTTAAAGCAATGGCACAAATTGTACCAAAGCTTTATTGCTGATTCAGGGCTGATTCATAAATCATTTAGATTTACTTTTTCCTCACCTTCACATAACTGTGAAGGATATGGACAATTCCTCTAAAACTCCTATGTACCGTAGATCCAGTATATGGCCTGTTTAATGGCCGAAAGTTAATCTGTTGTCAGATCAGCCATTAGAGCAGTGCTGTGGGGCAAGTGCCTTGGGGAGATTTTGTAAGGGCGAATATTGAGGTCTCGTTCTTTTCCTTGCATTCCAATGAAGTTTATGCAGTTGTGTCTGCTCCTCCTCTTTTCTCTTTACATGGTCCTCAATGCACACCTCTTATGTAAACACATTCTCGGTTTTATCGTTAAAGCACCAGATTTGAATTGTATGAAGATGTTCAGTGAATAATGCCTCACACAAAGCTATTGTATGGTTTCAGAAGACTCTTAGACTCTTTTATGATTCTTTTATGTCATTTTTGGAGCTTGAGAGCTACTATCCTCTGTCTCATCCCACATCCATCTCCTGTTGTGTTCCATATTGAGTAAATTAATTTTATTTTTGGATAAACTTATCCTTTGATATTGCTCCTGCAAAGATGTTTTCATTTATTATTTATTCATTTACTTGAAGACATTTGGATAAAAGTCATTGTCTATAATCAAAATGATCTTTGCACAGAAAAACACTATAGGCTTACTGACAAAAAGTTATTACTTGAATGAAATCTAAACATTATTCAACTAAATCTAGTTAGTTTTACTAGTTTCTAGTTTACTAGTTACATAGTTTCTTACTTTTTATAATAAAGATGTTTTTATTATTCAACAGAAAAAGGCACATAAAGCTGAAAGACAAAATGGAGCTGATTTTTTTTTTTACAGTAGATACAGTAGATCAGGTTACAGTAGTGGGCAAAGTTTTTCAAGCTTCAAAGGGAGGCGTGACAATAAAACTGATTTCTAGCTCCGATTGGAAAGAAGAAAAGTCAGCAGATTGCCTGCTGTATTGTTTACTTTCTTCTTAGTTTAAATGATCAAGACCAGAAAGTCATCTGTCTGCATCCACCATTCTACCTCTGACACTCAAAATTTTTTGGAGAGTCATGGGCAAAGAGATGGAGAAATTGGAAATGGAAGAGGTGAAGAGGAAGTGTGCACATGCATATGTAATATAATAAATGTGCTACATCGTGCTGAAAAATCTTGGCACGATGCACAAGGAAGATGACACGTGTGGAGCAGAGAAAGAGCCCATGATAAACTTGCTATCATCTTTTCAAATTTAAGACACTGAACGAGATCCCTGAGCCTCACTGAATAAATGTGCAGCCAATCCGTCATTCTGTCTGCTGGTTTCCAACTCTGATGAATGCAGAGTGATGAAGAACTTATTCACTTTGAAAGAAGAAATGGGGAGATAAACAATATATTATCTAGAGCAAGATTCGGTGTGCTTGAACGGGAATATTTATGTGTTTATTGCTTTTTGGATGCAGTGGTGAAGCTCAGCAGTACTGTAAATTCATTCAAAAGATCACTTCTTCGCTTTCGTTTCAATACATTTTGCATCCCCCTTTCTCATTTCGCTTCTCTTTCCTCTTCATGTTTTCGTGTTATTCATCTAAATTAGTGGCTTCATACTAAGTAACGTCTAGGTTACTTGTGTAACCCTCGTTCCCTGAAGGAGGGAACGGAGACGTTACGTCAGTGACTGACGAATTGGGATCTCGCCCGAGAGCCCAATCACCTTCGAGTGTTAACTAAACAAGCCAATGACAGTTGGCGTGCGTGTTTCGCCACGCGCACCCCGCCCCGCAGCGCGGATATAAAAGGAGAGCGCGTGCAAACGCACATCAGTTTTTCGCTGAGGAGCCGAGACTACGTGCCCCGGCCGTACAGCGGTGGTACAGCAACTGTGGCAACGGAACGTAACGTCTCCGTTCCCTCCTTCAGGGAACGAGGGTATATATATATATATATATATATACAGTATATATATAGAGAGAGAGAGAGAGCGAGAGAGAGAGACACTCTCACACACACATACATTTCTTTATTTTTCTTCTTTTAAAGTTCCAACTTCTTAGGTGTGAACAATCATAACAACACTTTAGGATCGAATATGCATGGCGTATGGCTATTAAATAAAATGTCAATTTCAGACTATTAATAGCAGGAGCAATTATAGGGCATTCATTAATTATAGGGGACAGTCATTGCAGGGGTGATTTGCCCAAACATTTCCCATTATTTACCCAAAACAAATCATATCTCATGTTTAACCACTATAGAGACATCAGAGCCAGTTGCAAATTCCAGAAGATCTGGCCGAGTTGAGGCTGCTCTCTGCGGGTTCATGTGCACTGAACGGCCGCTGATGGCCTGGAGCTCACATCTCTGAAAACGTTGAAGCAATTTTGTAAATAAACGTTATCGTTATCAACAAACCGCATATTTGAAGTCTAAACAACTACATTCTTGCCTAAAAAAACTCCTAAAACTACATTCTGTGACACAAAAATAGTATTATTTATTAAATTATAGTGGATTTGAGCGTTCGCCATGACACTCGCTGTGAGAAATACTGCAAGCAGAGTGATACAAACGGTGAAACTGTTGTATAATATATTTATGAAAGAACAGCAGTAAGGACACTTTAAATGGGCATTAAAAAATAATGTTATAAAAATAATATAATAAATAAATATTAAATATATAATTAAATAAATGACAAATATTCATCAAAGAATCTTAAAAAAATGCATCATGGTTTTCACAAAAATCTATAGCATCATTATAGATTTATAGCAGCATAACATGCTTTATAATAGAAAATGTTTCTTGAGCAGCAAATCAGCATATTAGAATGATTCTTGAAGGAAGTTACACTGAAGTGGCACTGAACAGTGGAGTAATTTATAGGTACTGGGGTTATGGCATCACCCAGTAGAAGCCAAGGACTGCTGAGATGAACAGATATTCAGGGATAGAGGACACGGGACTTAACTCAGGCATAAGAGTAAACAGAGAACCACTAAAACACATACACATCTAAACAGCACTGCAATTAAATTTCCTTTTTAATATTAACATGACACTTTACATAACAAACTACACATTTGTGTTTACTGCTTGCATTAAATGCATATGTACTGGTATGTTTTCAGGCATCCACACACTGATGTTCTTTCGACCACCAAAATATTGACACAAAATCAATGCAATGAAAGAAAAGTTTTATTCAACAAACTTGAAATCTATAATACAAATTATAAGTTGAGAATTCCAAAACAAATGCACCTATTCTGATTGTGAACAAAGACTGCAGAACAACAGATGAATAATTACTGACGTTAGTCCATATCTCGATCTGAAATTGATTAGCTGTGCAGCGCTAATTCCTGATTGTTTAGTTCAAATTTGGCCAAATTCCATGACAATTCCGCATTATACAGTGAATTGTGGTTTTATTCGTAACTCCGCGATTCCTTCCATGTTGCCAAATTCCATGACATTCCGCATTATTCAGTGAATTGTGGTTTTATGCGTAACTCTGCGATTCCTTCCGTGTTGCCCACATCGCAGAAATCATAGGGCTCTAGATGTATGGACAGTGTAGCCAGGAAATTAGTTTTAACTGCAAAATGGAGTAGCCTACTACCAAGTGAATTAACCTCACACACAAACAAGCAGTTGTGTGTCACGCACATTCCAAACTGTGTCGCATGTGTGCTACAGTGGTAAATGTAATCAAAGCATGTTTTCCTACCACGTGGTGCAGCCGTGCATACACACAAACTACCAGAAATAGTCATAGCACAAAGTCATATTTTATTGAAACACATTCTTGTACGTGTTCTAAGTTACCCAAGATAACTTGTTTTACATTAGATGACATGTACCCACCTGATAGTGAGAGAATGTGAGCTGGACGCAAGGTCACGGTTCATTTTAGAATTGTCAATGCTTTTGAAGCAGATGGTCACTGCTAACATAGCGCCATCTACAAGTGTGGTGTTAAACAGCAGAGAAAGCTTTGTCATTGAATGGGCATTAGAAAGCACATGAGTGTGTGGATGTGAAATGGACACCACGTTTCTGACATCAGTTTGATTTGGATATTTGAGCTGATTTTTGACGTCAAGTTTTGATATCAATTTCAGGTCTTTTGAACATCATTTGCACACTGGGACACATTTCAAAATGAGATGTGGCAAATCGATGCTGTCCGAGGCCCCAGTTAAGAAAAAAATATATTTAAGCTTAATCAGGCTGGCAAATAAATAAATATCAATCAAACACACAAATCATTGATGTTAATGTGATGTCCATATGATATCAATTTGACGTCTAAACCATGACATTTATTTGATGTAAACTGAATGTCAAACACATTGGCCTGTTTATACATTAAACTTATTTCAGTGTGTGTATTAACTTCATATTTTCACCCAAGAAATTGCTGTCCAAACTGACCTTAAAATGATGTTATACAGCATCGTGACCAAGTCTTGACTAATATTTGACGTCAAATTGATATAAATTGACATCAAGGTGCCCGCTGGGAAGTGTCTGAGCTTCCAATTCCTGTCCTTTTTGCTGTTTGTGTTTCTCTCTTCATTCTGTTTCTTTGTACTCTGAGGCTTTAATTTGGAGTGACAGATGATTATCTGGAGCAAACAATGAATTAGCATGACAATACTTTCAACATACAAATAAGAAATTATTCACCAACCTCACACCAACCCGACAGCAGATATTCACATCTTATCATTAACCTGCTTAGACACACTCAACGGCACATTCTTTCTTACATCCCCCACACACATACACCCCATTACTGAGATTCTGATAATGACTCTAGTGAGAAATTATGAAAAACTGAAGTCTTCTTCACAACCAAGTACAGTTTATAATGAATAGTTTTCTTCCCCACCAAGACCTGAATCTAATGGCATTGATTGTTCGGGAAGAGAAATGAATGATTCTGGTTCTGATTCAGATCCGCTTAATGGTTTTGGTTCCTTAACGAGTCTGTTAATGACTGTTTTAGTACTTTGGAGGAAACACACAAATATAGTGTTCCCGATAATCTCCTGTGGCAAACTTTTGCCTAATATTGCTGCAAATGTAAAATATCCCACACTTAAAAAGCCTCTGGATAATAATATATATTCTAGTCTCAGTCTCAGACGTCATGCCCATGGACTGTTGGCTGAATGCATACGGCACACAAAATTGGAAACACCTCGGGAGTTTCGAAGTCATCATTGGATTGGTTGAATTATACAGGATTTTCAGGAGACATTGGTGAAATGTTAAAGTCGCACTCTTTAACATTTCACCTAGAAACAAAGATACCGTGATGAAACCCCCTTATGGAAGAAGAGAGCCGCTGTTTTTACAACTGTGACGATGAGTGCTTATCAGAATCAACTAAACGCTGGATTTTCAAAAGTATATGTGAAATATTTCAAGTTTGCTGCATAGAATCTTTAAAATAAGTCCAAGAGTTTTACACACCGGTCTGTTATTGTGGGGACATTTCCACCCCCTAAACACGACGTGCCACAAAACGAAACATGATTGGTTTGTCCTCTTGGGCGGTCCTTGGCCATTAAAAGCGGCCAAGGGTCCCACACCTTCTGCCATCAGTCTGAAGGTCTGGCTACGTGGGACTATATATATTCTGACAAATCTTACAAGAAATCATAACAAAGACAATGTGCATTTTATTTCAAAACAATACAACAAACCAAACTATTCATCTACCCATGCTGGTCATGGCAAAATCCAGTCATTTTAATAAAAATCCAGTCTGTGTCTGGATTATGTACCTGTTTTGTGTGTGTTTTCTCCCTCGTGCCCATATTTGGTCGTTCCTGTTCCTGTCCTTGTTGTCTCATTATTAGTTGATTCCCCTCACCTCTCATTCCCTCGTTCAGTGTGGTATTTAGAGTGTAGTCTGCCCCATGTTTCCTTGTCAGGTCTTATATGTCTTGGAGTAGGCAATCATGACAGTCTGAGGGTGAAAGATTTACCTATGCAGAATTCACAGTGGGTTCAAGTTGTTCACACAGATTTGTCATGTTGACAACAAAATGCTGTTTGATTTGAAAGTGGCTTCTGTGCGAGCTGTGCTTCATACATTGCTATACAACTGACAATAGAAAATGTACCTTTTTTTACTCGCAAGACTTTGCTAATATGACCTAACCATTCCATTCCATTTATTTTAATGGAAAAAAATATTAGAATCTTCATGCATTTTCATTACAATTACAATTCATTGTATGACAGTTTGTGGCTGGCAAATAGAACAAAATAAAAACGCCATAACATTCTATTTATTCTAAGTCTTCCAAAGCCATAAATGATGAAGGAATGACCTATAAGCAGCCAGAATGCACTGGATTTGCCTTGCATTTAGTGCAGTTGCATTCAAACAGTGAGGACAATACTGTAGTGCAGTCTATTTATTGAATTTGTAGTATTTCATAGTACTGTTCCTTTCTGTGCTGGAAGGGTCTTTCTTTTATCACATATAAGGACACAAGAACACAACTGAGCTAAAAATAATTTCTTATGTCATGGCGCAGTACACGCAGTAGCAGCGCCACAACTGAAGCAGTGCCGGAAACCCTGTCAGAATATTTTAGTATAGCCTTCCTTCCACGAATGGAACATCATGCAATTTTTATTTTATTTATTTTTGTATTTTTATTTTTTAAAGTGAACTGGTCCTTTATTCACAGTGCTAGTGATTATTGACTTTTTATTTTTAATTTATTTGACTTCTTTTTTTATTGTTTGTCTTTTTTGGCAGTTTAATAAATACAATTGTTAGTTAGTCTTTCTTTCTGTCTTTCTGTCTTTCTTTCTTTCTGTCTTTCTTTCTGTCTTTCTGTCTTTCTGTCTTTCTTTCTTGGAGTCTTTCTGTCTTTCTTTCTTTCTGTCTTTCTTTCTTTCTGTCTTTCTGTCTTTCTGTCTTTCTTTCTTTCTTTCTTTCTTTCTTTCTTTCTTTGCTTGCAGCACACTTTACATGGTCTGTAACTCTGGTCTGTGAGCTTGAGTCCACATGACTCTTTGAAATGTTTTGAGCTTTTAACTGTCTTCTGGAAACTAATACCCATCATATTTGACAAGCTACACTTTGGTGCATTTGATACGGGACACATACACAGCTGAAAGTATTGACTTAGTCCCAGTGTGTGTGAGGCTGCTTGCAGCTGCTGTCATGGTGTGTTTCCATCAGTGCTTTGGCCTCTGGAGTGTCAGTGGAAGGTGGGGGGTCTTTGTGGCTGTACTCTCCTGTTATAGATAGCTGTTAAGATGCCTGCGAGCCTGCGGGGGTTCTGATGACTGAATTGAGGCCTCTCTCCTCGCCAGGCCTTTGAGAACGGTTGAGGCGGGCGGGGGAAAAATGAACACATCTCTTGCAACCAATATCACAGGCTAGCGAGCCACGGCTAATCAAACAAAATGACAGATATTAATATTAAGGAAGACTGTGAAATAGGTCTGATTTCCTAAAGCCCTTTCTTTTATGTTTTTTTTTTTGAGACTTTATGAGAAAGATTGGTGTTGTGTTGAATTGAGGTTGATCGTACTAAAGCTGGTACTTTTTCCACAAACAGACAGAATAACCGACACATGGGTAAGAACATCCAAAAGTATCTCACAGCGGGTCATGTTCACTGACTGCTGTCACAGAGTCAACAACATCCATAGCACCAGACCCCCACACTCCGCCTACTCGTTCACAGTCACTGTTCTGATCACCTGCACCTGTGTCATCCAATCAGCACAGACTATATAAACCACTCAGTTCACTGATGTCTGGTCTCGTTGTTCCTATCATAACACTACCCAACCTCTTACCTGCATGGACTTATCCACGTCAGTTCGATAGTCATCTGCATCCAACTTCCGGAACCAGCTCACCAACACCAGTTCATCCAAACCTGCAAAGATAAGACTGTTATTCACTGAACTATCTCAGCATTGTTCTGTTGACCAATCACTCACCTGCTATCCACTTATATCTGTCAAAACCTGCAATAAACCTGTTTGAATTACCTTGTTGCATTCTTCATGTTTTATTACAACTGCTCATACTCATATTTCTGTACAAGTTTATGTGAATGAATTTTCATACAGAAATCAGGATTAATAATTTTAAGTTATATTTTTGGCTTTAATTTGATAAAATGGTGAGAGGAGACGGCAATATATATATATATATACATACATACTTTTATTCAGCAAGAACACATTAAATTGATCGTATAACAGTTCCCCCAAAAATAAAGCGGCACAACTGTTTTCATCATTGATAATAATAAATGTTTATTGAGCAGCTTATTAGAATGATTTCTGAAGGATCATGTGACACTGAAGACTGGAGTAATGGCTACTGAAAATTCAGCTTTGCATCAGAGAAATAAATTAAATTTTAAAGTGTATTAAAGTTTGAAAGTTATTTTAAATTGTAATATGTTTGTAATAAACATAAGCTTAAAACCCCCAGACTTTTGAATGGTAGTGTCTAAGAATGTTTCCATATATATATTCGAAAACACGAGTATTTTTTTTTGTTTTGTTACATTGTTAAAATAATTAAATATGATTGAGCAATTCAGTGACCTTACAATAATGATGTATTGTAGTTAATTTGGAAAGTCAGACTTTTCACGTTCTTGGTAAATGCAAAAAATGTATGTGAAGTCATGAACTTGGTAACTCCATTTTTTGTGTGTGTGTGTTCATCAGCATTACAAGGACAAAAACAAATTTGCGTGCACCAAACTTGTGAATCTGGTGGAAATAAAATAAATCTGGTCACCAGCTGAAACAGCTTAGGTGGTCTAGATGTTTTTTTTTCTTTTGTTTTTCAAGAATTAAAGCATTAAAGATGCAAATGTCTTCATTCAAGACTACTTCCGCTTAACTCCTCCATTGTACTCTTTTGAAGCAAAACTAATCTTTTTATTTCTCTCTCTCTCCTTCTCTGCTTTAGAAGAGACCGCATTTGAGGCAGGAGTGAGGGTGCAGATCCACAGTCAGGCAGAGCCTCCCTTTGTACATGAGCTGGGCTTCGGAGTCGCCCCAGGCTTTCAGACCTTCGTGGCTACCCAGGAGCAAAGAGTGAGTGAGCTTTGACCTCGTAGGTTTGTCCTCAGCCTAAATATTTTGGTCTCTCAAGCCCTATTCACACCTGTTATTAACATGCGTCCAAGTTGAACCTATATCACAAGAGTTCAGTAAAAGCAGTGCTCAAATCACATTCGATACTCAGAAACAGATGCCACCACATCTCATTGGTAGTGTAAATACTAATGCATCCTGACATATCAGCAAAGGACTGCTGACTCACCGAACACACCGCCAAAACCAGATCGCCCAGGTTAGTAAATGGGGCCTTTTTAATCCATACCCATGTGTTCACGCTCCTCATTGCTCCACGTTTCTATTCTGTTTCATGTATAATGTTAATATTTCGTCAACCTCCTCAGGGTGTTCAATCTTAAAGGACCATCACATGGTTTGTGTGTCCGTGTGTTTGTGAGACAGGTGTCTACGCATACCAATTATTTTTTGAAGCTCTTTCACTATGCTCCCTATGATACCTTATTTTTAGTTTTTCTTTTGGTATTTTGCTCTCCACTTTGTTTTACTTTGTTGTTGTTGTTGTCCTGATGCTGTGAGGCTTTAATATCTCCAGCCGTGACCTTGCTGGCAATCTGACTGGTCTTTGTTTGTAATCACTGTAGTCTCACTGAGTCTCACCACAGTAAGCAGAAAACAAGCCTAGCATCGTGTTTTTGTGAGAAAAGCGTGATTTCCATGTTTAATAATTAGTTTGGTGCTAATTCAAAAAGTTTCACACATAATATTTTGTTTTTGTGAAGAGTCATCTGAATGGTGTATCATTCAGTCACTCATATGAGACTGTACTCACTCATATGAGACTGTACTGTACTCCATAATAGTTTTCTATAAAAAGCATTTTAAGTGTGTATGGTACCCCCAATGTACATTATTTTGCCATGTTGAAATGTTGCAAACTCCGGTGTTTCATTAAGCATCAAATAGAATTCTCATGCTCATTGGCTGCCAGTAGTGTACTTTGATGAAGAGAATAGAGAAAATTAGACCATGAACTATACACACACATATCGTACTTTACCAGCTGAGACAACATGAGAATCAGTACTTGTAGGGCTGAAGAAGCAGAGAAGGTCTGAAGCCAGAGGATGGAAATATTGACAAAGACAAAACATGAGCGTAACATTGGTACGCCGTCCTACACATGAAGAAGAAAATCCTGAGTAATGATGTCCACGTTTTTTTTTTTTTTTTGGACAGGTAAGGGACTACAAGTTTATTTGCCACTTCCTTGTTGTTAATTGCACTCATGGTTGATTACTGGTTTTGTTTGATTATGCTAATTGTTATGTTTAGGTAGCTGTTAAACTGAAGTATAGGCTAATGACTAGTAACCTCAGCCCTCTGTAGTTGTGGTGTGTAATTACGTTTATGAACATTAGGACTGTTTGGCAAGCCTTCGGTGGTGTGCATTTTATTCCTAGTCACAGCAGCCCAATAATATTCTAAAATCACTGGCATAAATGGTAATAAACAACCTTGTTCGTCTTTTCTTTTCTTTGTTTTTTTTTTTGTCAAATGCATCAGTCTGGTCATGGCAATCCCTATAATATTTTTTAAAGCTGTTGTGGTTGATACATATGCATCTGTGGTGTTTCTGTCAGAGTGTCTGCAGCCTTCACCCTCCCTGCTGTTATCTGAGAGTGCAAGGGTGGCGTTCACTTATCTGCTGTAATGTACAGGTTAGGGAGGGTATCAACATTTCTGCCTGGGCTTCTGTTATCTGTCAGGGTCTCCTGCTTTCTTACCTTATGTTATCTGCCCTCTCTCTCCCCTCCCTCTCTCTCTCTCTCTCTCTGTGTGCACCTCTGTACCTTCAGTAATTCCAAATGGACCTTTTGTTATGGAAGATATGTTTGGTACAGGAAAGCTTTGATCTTTGATAATTTTGATAGTTTTATTCAATAAGAATAAAACAGAAATTGTTGTTTTTGGACCCTCAGATTCTTTGACTGCTCCCAATCCAAACCTTGGTGGGTTGTCTTCATGTGTTAAGCAATGTGTGAACAATCTGGGTGTTGTATTTGATGAACATCTGAAGTTTGAAATCATCCTTGTTTCAGTTGCGACTCCTGTCTAAAATTAAGACGTTTCTTTCTTTTAAAAACTTTGAGAAAGTGATTCATGCTTTTATTACTTCTAAACTTGACTACTGTAATTCACTTTATGCTAGGATTAGTCAAACAGCTTTGTCCCGATACAACTGGTTCAAAATGCGGCAGCTAGACTTCTGATGGGGGTTCATAAGCAGGACCATATTACTCCGGTTTTACGGTCGTCACACTGGCTGCTTGTGCGTTACAGAGTAGATTTTAAAATTGTACTTATTGTTTATAAATCCCTAAATGGTATGGCTCTATAATACATCTCTGATTTATTGAGTGAGCATTATGTAACCAGATCTCTCCGGTCTTCTAACCAGAGACTCTGGTCTATCCCCAAGACGAGGTGGAAGTGCAGGGGAGACCATGCTTTCTCTACAGTTGCCCCAAGACTCTGGAATGACTTGCCCATTTCTGTTAGAATGGCTTCTTCTGTGTCTACTTTTAAGTCTAAGTTAAAAACCTATCTGTTCGATAAGGCTTTTAATTCTGGTTGAAGCACTCTTGTCCTTGTTTTATGTGTTCAGATTTCTCTTCTAGAAATATATGCAAATTAGTGCATATTTAATTAAACAATGCATCATTTTCATGTTTAGATGTAACATTTCAGAAATCTTGTAATACAAATCAATTGTTTTAATGTACTGTTATTAATAAAATGAGGAATTATGGTGGTATCATTTTTTTTATTATAATTTCTTTTAAATACACCAGTGGTGTCTTGCCTTAAAATTGTGTAGACATCCTACTCTTTGCAGTTAGCAAGTCTGAAGTCTGTACATTATTACAATTGGTTGATATCTTTGGCTAGGAAAGTATCATTGGCCCTGTCATAATAACATGTGTAGAATAATGGATCGAGATAACATGTTTCTGTTGTGTGGAACCACTGTCCATGATTAAATCAAGTTTAGCCAAAGAGTTATAACAACATATTATCAAGCTAAATATACATTTTCTTTACACACATAATGTTAGATGTATTGACTACATCCCTAGCACACCCATTGCAATTGCTTTTTTATTAAAGCAACTTGAACGCACGTTCAAACATCGAGTTGAGCCAGTCAGTTTAACATGATGCAATCATGTTTGAACGAGAAACCTGATACAATGGTGTTAAATAAAAATGAATTGTTTAAAGAAGATATTTTTAAAACTTTTCACTGTTGTCCATGGAAATCTTATACACTACTAGCTTCATGTCTCTTATTACATTCCACAATCTCTCTTTCTTCTCACTTGATAAAATAATTTGAAGTCAAATCAAATTTTCGTGTAGAACAGGTAGCATTATCCCTGATCTACGTATATTTACAGGTTCACAAACAATTCACACTGACATGCGCTGAACCAAACATGTGACTGACACAATCGGGCACTTCATTAGGAAAATGTACTGGGTGTTAGTGGGCAGGCAAAGGAGGCAATGATGTGAAAGTAGGCATTGACGCTTTACTGTGGAGGCGTTATTGTGTTGATGCATTCATTCGTGTTAAGTCTCAGTTCAGAAAAAGTCCTTTTTGCAGCTTGGTGTTTCAATAAATATTTTTTTTCCAGCATGTTTTTACTGTACAATAAATATTAGACATTAAATATATTAGCTTTATTGCCTATGAGATTAACACTAATGTGCTGCTAATGGAGTAGACTCACTTTTTAAGTGTCCTTAGAGCTGCCTTTTTTGTTTAATATACATTACTGTTCAAATATTTGGGGTTGGCAAGATTCATTGTCTCTTATACTCACCAAGGCTACATTTATTTGATGAAAAATACAGTAAAACCGCAATATTGTGAAACATTACAATTTAAAGTGTATTTATTTATTTTATTTTATTTTGTGTGTGTGTGTGGGGGGGGGTGCATATATATATATATATATATATATATATATAAAAAGGAAAGAATAGGAAAAAGAAAGAAAAATCATACTGACCACAATCGTTTGTATTTACAGTGAACTTCAGTTGCTTGTTGTCTAGATTCACATTCTTGTGTTTATGGTGTAAGTATTGTTGGGGAACAGCACAAGATGTTTGGTAGTAGTTGTAACGAGACTGTAGTGTGGTTAGTGTTTGGTTGTGAATGTGCCGGAAAGATCAGCTGAAATACTAAACCTCCCTGTTGAACAAATGAGCCAGCCTGACAAAAACTTTTTCCCTGAAACCATTTGTTACAAACTTGGTTTTGACAACTTGGCTGACCCACTGGGAAAAGTCCCAGTGCTCTTTATGGCCAGTCCACCATGTGTGTCAGGGAGACCATTTGCAACAACACATTCATTTATTGTTCTTTTGCAGGCCTGGTTGTCCCTCAAGACATGGCAGGATGCTATAAATCTCGCTCTGCACATTCAGCTTAGTTTTGATTTGTTGAACATTGATTGAATTCAGAAAGAATATTGTTTATTTTGGGATAATAACAATCTTTGATTGATAGATATTTTGTGGATTGTGTCTCAATTACTCCCAGAATGCACTGAGAGCACATCTTGTGCTTACATGTTCAATGAATATGTCTCTCTTTCTGTTTTGCCCTTCAGATGTGCTGTAAAAATGGATCATAAAATGAAATTATCCTTCAAATCCAAGCATTATTTGTCTGAACATTACATTTCATTACTTTTTTACCTTAAAGTCATTTGGGTCATGGCCTTAACTTAAAGGTCCCCTCAAATGCTTAGAAACACGCAGCGTTACTCTGTGTTGACGTCATTTTAACTGAAACAGGAAGACAGGGCGGGACAGTTCAAGCAGCCCCGCCCCTTTTTAAAATAGCCAATAGTGTTCATTTATATTCACAGCTTGGGCTAGAGCCGTTCAGAGCTGTTGAGCTCCATAAAGTCGCATTTGACAGGGTATGCCAGCCACAATCT